TCCACGTGGTCAATCCGTTGCCTCGCGTGATGTTCGACGTATGATCCGATGGTCGTTATGAGACGCCGCCGACTCATCTAACGGCCACCTAGCCTTAATCTGATTGTTGAGAGCGGGCCCCATGTCTCCCATAATTTGACACGTGGCAGTATTTAAAAGGACAGGCCCATGTGAGCTCTCGCTGACTAGAGAGAGAACCAGCTGGTTCTACCGCCGGATGCCTCCAAGAAATCGCTTTAGGGATATATATATATATAACAGCTAAACTTTAATTTTGTTATAAAGATTACTTTAATGATGCATGAAAAAATAATTCACTTTTAAAAATTTAAAATGATGATATTTCTATCTGATATGAAAGGTTTTATTGGTACAAATGTAAAAACTAAAATTTAATCGTTAGATATGTAAACACCTCAAATTAGGGAAAAATATTACATCAAAACTCATGATGCATTCAGAGTCAAATGGTGCGGCGTCACGTGTCAAGTGGGCTCCATCATTTTTAACACCGACCAATACCAGTGTAAAATAATGGGGCCCACTTGACACGTTGAGTCTAACTATTGGACTTCAAACGCAAACTGCCTTAGAAGTCCTGATGTAATATTCTCTCTTAAATTGGGTGTTATATAATACTCACACTATTTAATTAGATAGTTAATTGTTTAAAAAAATTAAAAAATAATTTTATATTTTAATTAAAACATTTAAAGATATGGATCTCAAATGATTCCTTATATAAATTTATTTGAAGCACGCAGAAGCCACTAGAAACATGTTATTTACAAGTCAAACAGTCTCTTTCATCCATTATTTAAATTCTCACTCAAATTTCAAAATTCATGGTTTTAAGAAAATCACATGGCGGTTGATTTGTAAATATCAATATTTTCGATGGCCTGCATATAATTATCCCAATATTTAGGAATAACTAATAGAGTTTATGTTCAATTAGTCAACATAAGACACTTATTGGTTGATAAAGTTAATTATGTGACCATATTGAAATAGAGATATATTCCATGCATTTATGAGCTCTTGATCCAAAATTTATTCTTAAGTTTATGATTATGCTCTTAAATTTATTTAAATAAGAACAAAGTATAGGTTGGAAGATGTCAATTTATTTTTTTTATCCCTTTTTAAGGAATGGTAAGATTTATTAGTCTAAGCTGACCCACCACCCCAAACAAGAGCCCACTGTCCATCACAATTAAGAGTCGACCAAAACTGGTTTAGCCGACCAAATTCGTGACTACTAAGCGATAGACTCAGACATGTATATAAACTAAATTACCTTTTACGACCCCTCCAAAGCATGGCTAAAAAATGCAATTTTAAATATTGTTCTCATATCTCCTATAAATAGAACCATATCTATTTTTAATGATTATAAATAGAAATTCAATAAATTTAACTATGGTCTTTGTAGCAAATTACTATTGTCACATCTTCCAGCTACGACCTCTGTAGTCAGTTGTTGCTCTTGCAACGATCGACTACAACCTTTGTATCGAGCTAATACCATCAGAGCTTCCAATTACAACCTCTATGGCCAACTGCTGTTCTTTTAGCCAACGACTGTGACTTTAATGAGCACATACTACAGTTACAACTTCCAACTACAGCTTTTGTGGCTGACTGCTGCTCTTGTCGCCACTAAGTATGACATTTGTGGCCAATTACTACTGTTAGAGCTTTCCAACTATAGTTTTTTGTGGTTGATTATTGCTCTCGTAAACATCAATTTGTCATTATGTCCACCTACTACTGTTACAACTTCCATTTACGACACTTGTGGTCATCTATCACTGTTGCAGTGTCCAACTATACTCTTTTTTGTTGACTACTGCCTTTATAACAAAGGACAATGACATTTGTAGCTAACTTACTGCAATTAAAGTCAAAAAACACATTAGTGACAGTCAAATTATGACTATTATAGCTAAGCTATTATTGTATATCTGTGATTCTCAACTTTGTGACTCTATCTCTAATTCAATTGAAGGATGGACATGTGTACGCATAATTACAGTGTTTTTCCACGTAAAAATATGGGTGTCTCTGTCTGCTACTTTTCTATTTGTTTTCCGTGTGTATGTTGAATTTTCATGCACGTCAAAACATTAAATTATCACTCTTTCATCATTAAATTTTCTAACTCGCAACAAGGCCTAAAACATGAGATATGCAAATCTTATTCATGGCCAATTACTTATAATAGAAAATTATTATTATTTTTAATTAATAATTAGATTCATTTAATTTCTTCCATAAAAAATGTAATAACTTTTGAAGTTTAAAATGATGATTAGACACGTGTTAGGCTTTGATGGAGGTGAAAAGTGTTCTTTGTCTCCATTCTAACATGAGGATGAAAGTCAAAGGTCGCGCTATGTGGGCCCCACTACAAGCTCCCACTCATGGCCAGTGAGCCATAAGACCCCACCTCTGGGGCCCACTTATTGGTGAGGGTGTTTGCACCGAGTTTTTTGACTTGTTCAGCACCTTTTCTCAATTATTAGCTACTCTCCAATGACCACTTGATTATAAATCATCATGCATGATATTTCATAACACATAAATCAGATAAATTTAATTCCAAATATTATATATATATATATATATAGAGACTAAAATTAAAATATGAAATATATATTTGGATCAAGGTATATTATAGGATTTATTTTGGCCATCCCGTTTGGTTCGCGCTTTTCGCCAGCTTATCCAAAACTGCGTTTGGGTTTTTACACTAAACGCAGGCCACGGGCCGACCCCTGCGGCCGGCCCGCGGGCCGCGTTTCAGGATAAGCAGCTTATCCTGAAACGCACAAGCTGCCCCGAACGGACCCTAAGAATTCCATTCAGTAAATAGCGGGATTGAACCTATGATTCGAGTGGTCATACAAACTCTACCAACTAAAGAGTCATGATGATGACACATACACGAGCGGTTATTCTGTGCGGACAGCTCTATATATATATATATATATGT